TGGTCAAGTTTGGAGTTTGGATGTCGTGGTCTACTGTGTCAAAAGCTTTTCTTAGGTCAATAAAAATTCCTAGTGGATATTCCTTATTTTCCAATGCTGTGTACAGCAGATCTAGCATTTTTATGATTGCATCATTAGTGCTTTTATTTTTCCTGAATCCAAATTGGCAGGGGTTGAGTATGTTTTGTGACGTTATAAATGAATATAGTCTCCTGTGCACGAGTTTCTCAAAGATTTTGGATAGCAATGGTAAGTTTGATATTGACCTATAGTTGTTTAAATCAGTAGGGTCACCACATTTATGTATTGGTGTAACCCTTGCCGTCTTGAGTAGTTTCAGGAAGGTGCTAGTTTCTAGTGACTTGTTAAAAAGTAATGAAATAGCATGCAAAAGGACATGGGCCGCTCGCTTGTACAATAATGGTGGGACGTGAGACAGATTCCCTGAGTTATTTTTAAGTGACTTTATAATCTCGGTGACTTCCGTGGGCTCAGTTGGTGCAAGATAGAAGGAATTTGGGAAATTCCCATCTAGGTAGTCCCCGGCATGGGCATTGGTACGTGGGATTTTATTGGCGAGATTAGATCCTATGGTTGAGAAGAAGTTATTTATCTTGTTAGCTGTGTCAGTGGGATGTAGTGGTATTTCATTAGGTTTAGTTAGGACAATATTCTTGGTTTTTTCAGTTTGTGGGTCCCTAGAATCTGAGAGAGTGTTTTCCAGGTCTTTTTTATATCTCCTCTTGTGTCAGTGAATCTACTGGAGTAGTATAGTTGTTTGGCTTTTTTTATCACTTTGGTGAGAGCTGATGAATAGTGTTTAAGAATATCTTTGTGTATTAAGCCCTGTCTATATTGCTTTTCATATTGGTGTTTCTTATCAATGGATTTCAGAATTGTGCTGGTTAGCCATGGGCAACCAAGCCGTTTGTTTGTGATCTGTTTCGTTTTTATAGGAGAATGTTTGTTGTATAGTCTAAGTAATTTGTTAAGAAAAATGTCTGTCCAGTCATCAATACCATTAGCCTTGGAGAATTCTGTAGGCCAGTCAACAGTCTCTAGGTCAGCTATGAACTTCGTTATTGAGGCCTCGTCATGGAGTCTAAATGAGACTTTGTTGTATTCAAGTGGTGGTTTACTAATGTTTGTCAGGAGGAAGGTAGGGTAGTGGTCTGTAGTGCTATCTGTGATTATCCTTGATTTAAGGGGGGCTAGTATATTGGTCCATATGTGGTCTATTATGGTTGCACTTGTCTCAGTGAGCCTGGTTGGTTTAGTTATTGTTGGTATGAGAAGTGTGTTGTTCATATTGTTGATGAAATCAATTACAGGCTGATCATCTAGTAAGCCAAGGCTGATATTGAAGTCTCCAGCTAAGAGAAGCTGGTGCTTGTTCATTTGTCTGTTTGCTATTAGTGACTTTAGATTCTCATTGACGTGTGGGATGTTTGTGTGAGGTATCCGGTAAATGGCACCGATTGTTATAGGCCTCTTAAGGTTTTTTACAGTAAAATTAGCAAAAATGTATTCCCCATATTCATCACTAAAGCAAGTGGTGCTAATACAAGATAATTGGTTAGAGTAATAGATTGCAATACCACCCCCAACTTGGTTTGTTCTGCAGTTGTGAATTGCTGTGTATCCTGGTAGAGGGTAGATATCTATTGTGTCCTGCTTAAGCCAGGTCTCAGTAAGAATAATGCAGGAGAAGGGGGGTCTTTAGTGATTCAAGGAGTGCTAGGAGGTCATCATAGTGTTTGTTTAAGGACCTGATGTTGTAGTTAAGTACTGATAGACTTTTAGCATTGTTTAGGATAGTGGTGGCTTGTGATGCTGTGTAATAAAGGCAGTTACTTTCCAATGGGTTTTTTGATTGGGTGTCAGATTATGGAGGTTTAGATCAGGGTCAACGTGATCAATCATCTTCTAGGTTTAAATTAAGGTTATTTTTTATCCTGAGTTGTGTGTTGAGTTCTAGTACTGATATCTGTAGTGGTAGGAAGTTTGGATAAGTATATAGCTAGAGTATTTTGGTCATGTAGGGTATAGTCACTACTACACATAATGAAGTTGATGTTGTCTATGTGTTGTGCTGGAATGAACTAAAGTACAACTAGGTATAAACTAGTAATATAAAAATACAAATTTAAAATAGAACAAGACTCTCACTTGTAATTGCACTAAGGTCTAATAATGACTTTTGTGGAGTCTATGTTTTGAGCTAGAATGACCTATAGTACAACTAGGTTTAATCTAATAATATAAAAATACAAATTAAAAATAGCACCAGACTCTCACTAGTAATTGCACTATGGTCTAATATAATGAATTTGGTATTGACTATGTATTGAGCTAGAGTGAGCTAGAGTAAAACTGTGATTAATCTAATAATATAAAAAAGGCACAAGACTCTCAATTGTAATTGCACTAAGGTCTTATATAAGTTGTTTACAAGAATTAGAGTATAATTAGATTTAAATTGACAGGATAAAATACACAAATTAAGGTAGCAAAAGAATAATAATAAAAAATTATAAAAATAAAAATGGCAATGACTTGGTTATAATATGCTAGTAAGATGGTAGACAGGATGATATAAAAGTTGTAGTTGAAAATACTAGTTTAAAAATGCATAGAATAAAAATGGTCAATAAAAGAAGTTTACAATAAGTTTGATCAATATAGTTTAAAGTAAAATTGGGCAATAATAGGGATTTAGAATAAAATTGGGCAATTGAGTGTTTCTTAAAGTGAGGTAGAATTATTGAAGACAAGTTATGGCTAGTTTAAAATAAGATGGAACAGTGATGTGGTAAGTTGTAAAAAAGGAGATAGATTCTGTAGATATTAAACACAATTAAGACTATGAGGTAGAATGGTCGTTGAATACAACAATGACAATTAAAAGTAGTTGGGGTATTAGAATTTTAGGGAGGCACAAATTTATGACAATATAACACTAACGGTGGGCTATGGGTATTATCTGCACTTTACTCTGATTCTGTTAGTCCAGCCTCACTTAGGAATGTTGTAAGGTCATGTCCTGTAGAGATGAATTATCTCTTAGGAATGTTTTAAGGTCATGTCCTGTAGAGATGAAGTATCTCTTTTGGAATGTTTTAAGGTCATGTTCTGTGGAGATGAAGTATCTCTTAGGAATGTTTTAAGGTCATGTCCTGTAGAGATGAAGTATCTCTTAGGAATGTTTTAAGGTCATGTTCTGTAGAGATGAAGTATCTCTTAGGAATGTTTTAAGGTCATGTCCTGTAGAGATGAAGTGTCTCTTAGGAATGTTGTAAGGTCATGTTCTGTGGAGATGAAGTATCTCTTAGGAATGTTATAAGGTCATGTTCTGTAGAGATGAAGTATCTCTTAGGAATGTTTTAAGGTCATGTCCTGTAGAGATGAAGTGTCTCTTAGGAATGTTGTAAGGTCATGTTCTGTGGAGATGAAGTATCTCTTAGGAATGTTTTAAGGTCATGTTCTGTAGATATGAAGTATCTCTTAGGAATGTTTTAAGGTCATGTCCTGTAGAGATGAAGTGTCTCTTAGGAATGTTTTAAGGTCATGTCCTGTAGAGATGAAGTGTCTCTTAGGAATGTTTTAAGGTCATGTTCTGTGAAGATGAAGTATCTCTTAGGAATGTTTTAAGGTCATGTCCTGTGGAGATGAAGTGTCTCTTAGGAATGTTGTAAGGTCATGTCCTGTAGAGATGAAGTATCTCTTAGGAATGTTTTAAGGTCATGTCCTGTAGAGATGAAGTATCTCTTAGGAATGTTGTAAGGTCATGTCCTGTAGAGATGAAGTGTCTCTTAGGAATGTTTTAAGGTCATGTCCTGTGGAGATGAAGTATCTCTTAGGAATGTTTTAAGGTCATGTCCTGTAGAGATGAATTATCACTTAGGAATGTTTTAAGGTCATGTCCTGTAGAGATGAAGTGTCTCTTAGGAATGTTTTAAGGTCATGTTCTGTAGAGATGAAGTATCTCTTAGGAATGTTGTAAGGTCATGTTCTGTGGAGATGAAGTATCTCTTAGGAATGTTTTAAGGTCATGTCCTGTAGAGATGAAGTGTCTCTTAGGAATGTTGTAAGGTCATGTCCTGTAGAGATGAAGTATCTCTTAGGAATGTTTTAAGGTCATGTTCTGTAGAGATGAATTATCTCTTAGGAATGTTTTAAGGTCATGTCCTGTAGAGATGAAGTATCTCTTAGGAATGTTTTAAGGTCATGTCCTGTAGAGATGAAGTATCTCTTAGGAATGTTTTAAGGTCATGTCCTGTAGAGATGAAGTATCTCTTAGGAATGTTTTAAGGTCATGTTCTGTAGAGATGAAGTATCTCTTAGGAATGTTTTAAGGTCATGTTCTGTGGAGATGAAGTATCTCTTAGGAATGTTTTAAGGTCATGTTCTGTAGAGATGAAGTGTCTCTTCCCAGTGGGCTGTTTCCTAACTGCTATTTTTCTGTCCTTCCGTACTTCAGCGTATAGAGTGACAGTTTACCGACAGCTTTCTGACAGACCTGACAGCTTACCAACACACAGTGACAGTTTGATGACACACATTGACTCACCGTGAACAACAGTGACTCACCCTGAACAACAACAGTGACTCACCCTGAACAAAAACAGCGACTCACCCTGAACAAAAACAGCGACTTATCCTGAACAACAACAGTGACTCACCCTGAACAACAATAGTGACTCACTCTGAACAATAACAGTGACTCACCCTGAACAAAAACAGCGACTCACCCTGAACAAAAACAGCGACTCACCCTGAACAACAACAGCGACTCATCCTGAACAACAACAGTGACTCACCCTGAACAACAATAGTGACTCACCCTGAACAATAACAGTGACTCACCCTGAACAACAGTAACTCACCCTGAACAACAACAGTGACTCACTCTGAACAACAACAGTGACTCACCCTGAGGAACACAGTGACTCACTCTGAACAACAACAGTGACTCACACTGAACAACAATAGTGACTCACCCTGAACAATGAGCCATATGGGGAGCAGAGGCTCAATCTTGCAGTGATTAATATTGATCCCTCCTATGATGACAAAAGTGATCCCGAACACTGGAACAATGATGGCAGCAGCGATGAACACCGGCCACTGTATCAGGGAGGCTAGGCAGTCACCTGTAACAGAACATATGTGAACATGACGAACACTGAACATAAGAGATTAGTTTAGTTAAATGGGGTTTCAACTCTATCTACTACACTTGGGTCATTAAGACTGAAGGCAGTCAGGATGTATACAAATCAATTTGTATGTATACAAATCTACGTTGGTAGGTAAGACACATAGGCAACAGTTAGGCAACTTTATTCCGAAACGTTTCGCCTACACAGTAGGCTTCTTCAGTCGAATACAGAAAGTAGGCAGGAACAGTAGAGATGTGAAGACGATGTAATCAGTCCATCACCCTTGTAGTCGTAGAATTTGAGGTTGTCAGTCCCTCAGCCTGGAGAAGTTCAGTTCCATAGTCTGGAACTGACTATGGATAGTTCCAGACTATGGAACTGAACTTCTCCAGGCTGAGGGACTGACAACCTCAAATTCTACGACTATAAGGGTGATGGACTGATTACATCGTCTTCACATCTCTACTGTTCCTGCCTACTTTCTGTATTCGACTGAAGAAGCCTACTGTGTAGGCGAAACGTTTCGGAATAAAGTTGCCTAACTGTTGCCTATGTGTCTTACCTACCAACCTGTCGGTATTGTATACCATTTTGATGTTCACAAATCTACGTATATGTATACTACTCCAGGTGTACGGACACACGTCTAGAAGTATGTATACAACTTAAGATGTGCATAAGATGTGATAAGTGAGACTGGTTAAAGGGGTTTAAAGTCTATCTACTACACGAGGGTCACTAAGACCTACCGTGACCGTCTCACATCATACAACAATACATTATACCCTTAAAATAATGATACACCAAACCCTCAGGGTGTATGAACTGGGACAAATACACCTCTCCGTGTATATAACCTGCGAAAAAAGGAACACTGCAGGAGGCCTATAGACCAATGGTAAAACACTGAATGTACGAACACCAGGCCTACAGACCCATGGTAACACACTGGGAGAGTGTACCAACACTAGGCCTACAGACCCTTGGCAACACACTGGGAGAGTGTACCAGCACTAGGCCTACAGACCCATGGTAACACACTGGGAGAGTGTACCAGCACTTGGCCTACAGATCCATGGTAACACACTGGGAGAGTGTACCAGCACTAGGCCTACAGTTCCATGGTAACACACTGAGAGAGTGTACCAACACTAGGCCTACAGACCCATGGTAACACACTGAGAGAGTGTACCAACACTAGGCCTACAGAATCATGGTAACACACTGAGAGAGTGTGCCAACACTAGGCCTACAGACCCATGGTAATACACTGGGAGAGTGTACCAACACTAGGCCTACAGACCCATGGTAACACACTGAGAGAGTGTACCAACACTAGGCCTGCAGACCCCCTGGTAACACACTGAGAGAGTGTACCAACACTAGGCCTACAGACCCATGGTAACACACTGGGAGAGTGTACCAACACTAGGCCTACAGACCCATGGTAATACACTGGGAGAGTGTACCAACACTAGGTCTACAGACCCATGGTAACACACTGGGAGAGTGTACCAACACTAGGCCTACAGACCCATGGTAACACACTGGGACAGTGTACCAGCACTAGGCCTACAGACCCATGGTAATACACTGGGAGAGTGTACCAACACTAGGCCTACAGACCCATGGTAATACACTGGGACAGTGTACCAACACTAGGCCTACAAACCCATGATAACACACTGGGAGAGTGTACCAACACTAGGCCTACAGACCCATGGTAATACACTGGGAAAGTGTACCAACACTAGGCCTACAGACCCATGGTAACACACTGGGAGAGTGTACCAGCACTAGGCCTACAGACCCATGGTAACACACTGGGAGAGTGTACCAACACTAGGCCTACAGACCCATGGTAATACACTGGGAGAGTGTACCAACACTAGGCCTACAGACCCATGGTAACACACTGGGAGAGTGTACCAACACTAGGCCTACAGACCCATGGTAACACACTGGAGAGTGTACCAACACTAGGCCTACAGACCCATGGTAATACACTGGGAGAGTGTACCAACACTAGGCCTACAGACCCATGGTAATACATTGGGAGAGTGTACCAGCACTAGGCCTACAGACCCTTGGTAACACACTGGGAGAGTGTTCCAACACTAGGCCTACAGACTCATAGTAACACACTTGGAGAGTGTACCAACACTAGGCCTACAGACCCATGGTAATACACTGTGAAAGTGTACCAACACTAGGCCTACAGACCCATGGTAATACACTGGGACAGTGTACCAACACTAGACCTACACACCCATGGTAACACACTGGGACAGTGTACCAACATTAGGCCTATACATCCATCACAACAAACTGAGTCAGTGTACCAACACTAGGCCTACAGACCCATGGTAACACACTGGGAGAGTGTACAAACACTAGGCCTCCAGACCCATTGTAACACTGGGACAGTGCACCAACACTGCGCCTACACACCCATGGTAACAACTGGGAGAGTGTACCAACACTAGGCCTACACACCCATGGTAACACACTGGGACAGTGTACCAACACGAGGCCTACACACCCATGGTAATAAACTGGGACAGTGTACCAACACTAGGCCTACACACCCATGGTAACACACTGGGACAGTGTACCAACACTAGGCCTACACACACATGGTAACAAACTTGGACAGTGTACCAACACTAGGCCTACACACTCATGGTAAACACACTGGGACAGTGTAACCAACACTAGGCCTACACACTCATGGTAACACACTGGACAGTGTACCAACACTAGGCTACACACCCATGGTAACACACTGGGACAGTATAACCAACACTAGGCCTAACACACCCATGGAAACACACTGGGACAGTGTACCAACACTAGGCCTACACACCCATGGTAACACACTGGGACAGTGTACCAACACTAGGCCTACACACCCATGGTAACACACTGGGGCAGTGTACCAACACTAGGCCTACACACCCATGGTAAACACACTGGGACAGTGTACCAACACTAGGCCTACACACCCATGGTACACACATGATACAGTGTACCAACACTAGGCCTATACACCCATGGTAACACACTGGGACAGTGTACCAACACTAGGCCTACACACCCATGGTAACACACTGGGACAGTGTACCAACACTAGGCCTACACACCCATGGTAACACACTGGGACAGTGTACCAACACTAGGCCTACACACACATGGTAACAAACTGGGACAGTGTACCAACACTAGGCCTACAGACCCATGGTAATACACTGGGACAGTGTACCAACACTAGACCTACACACCCATGGTAACACACTGGGACAGTGTACCAACATTAGGCCTATACATCCATCACAACAAACTGAGTCAGTGTACCAACGCTAGGCCTACAGACCCATGGTAACACACTGGGAGACTGTACAAACACTAGGCCTCCAGACCCATTGTAACACTGGGACAGTGCACCAACACTACGCCTACACACCCATGGTAACAACTGGGACAGTGTACCAACACTAGGCCTACACACCCATGGTAACACACTGGGACAGTGTACCAACACGAGGCCTACACACCCATGGTAATAAACTGGGACAGTGTACCAACACTAGGCCTACACACCCATGGTAACACACTGGGACAGTGTACCAACACTAGGCCTACACACACATGGTAACAAACTTGGACAGTGTACCAACACTAGGCCTACACACTCATGGTAACACACTGGGACAGTGTACCAACACTAGGCCTACACACTCATGGTAACACACTGGGACAGTGTACCAACACTAGGCCTACACACCCATGGTAACACACTGGGACAGTATACCAACACTAGGCCTACACACCCATGGAAACACACTGGGAGAGTGTACCAACACTAGGCCTACACACCCATGGTAACACACTGGGACAGTGTACCTACACTAGGCCTACACACCCATGGTAACACACTGGGGCAGTGTACCAACACTAGGCCTACACACCCATGGTAACACACTGGGACAGTGTACCAACACTAGGCCTACACACCCATGGTAACACACTGATACAGTGTAACCAACACTAGCCTATACACCCATGGTAACACACTGGGACAGTGTACCAACACTAGGCCTACACACCCATGGTAACACACTGGGACAGTGTACCAACACTAGGCCTACACACCCATGGTAACACACTGGGACAGTGTACCAACACTAGGCCTACACACCCATGGTAACACACTGGGGCAGTGTACCAACACTAGGCCTACACACCCATGCTAACACACTGGGACAGTGTACCAACACTAGGCCTACACACCCATGGTAACACACTGGGGCAGTGTACCAACACTAGGCATACACACCCATGGTAACACACTGGGACAGTGTACCACACTAGGCCTACACACCCATGGTAACACACTGGGACAGTGTACCAACACTAGGCCTGCACACCCATCAAAGTTTATTCTCTATAAGGATTACAATGCTGAGTTTACAGAAATTTGGTTATTGTGTGGTTTACATGTAGTAAAATTGTAGTTACAGAGTGTACCACTAGAACGCTTAGCATGGCTAGGCATTTCGGGCATACTTAGTTTTATTCTTAATTGTAAAATATTACAAATTATGAGGTAAGTTGGTATTATGGCTAAGTGACTAAATACTAGTTTATGAGTTTAGCAATGTGAATGCTTTTGTTTTGGCACAGTACATAGTTTCAGTATTGGAGTATCACAGGATTCATTATTTTAAGACTGAGATTAATATTTCTGTTTATGGTCAAATGGGTGAGTGAGTGTAAGTGTGAACCACCAGGTGGTATTCGTGAAGTTAGTTGACAGGGTGTATCAGGGAGATAAGATGTTTTCTAATGGTAGTTTTGAAGGTGATGAATGTGTCTGCAGTTCTAGAGTTCTCAGGTAGGGTATTCCAGATTTTAGGGCCTTTGACATACATTGAATTTTTGTAAAGGTTTAGTCGGACACGGGTAATGTCGTAGAGATGTTTGTGTCTGGT